TTAAGTAAATATAGAGGCATATTTTCGGATTTGCCAGGAAAAGTCCAAGGGGTTCAGCATCAGATAAACACCGGTGATGCCACTCCTATAATCTCTCCACCTTACAGGGTTACTGGAAGAATTAATGAGTGTATTGAGAAAGAAATTAGAGAAATGTTGGATCTAGGCATTATTGTTCCTTCGGTTAGCTCTTGGGCTTCACCTATAGTGTTAGTGCAGAAGCCAGATAAAACAGTTAGGTTTTGTGTAGACTATAGAAAGTTAAATAAAGTAACCCAAACCGACACATATCCTATGCCACGTTTGGACGATCTACTAGAAAGGATGGGGAAGGCCAACTTTATTAGTAGCATCGATCTAACTAAGGGATTTTGGCAAGTGCCAATGGCACCACAGGATCGTCACAAAACCGCTTTTCGGACCCAAAGTCGATTATATGAATTTCATGTCCTCCCTTTTGGGCTAAAAAATAGCCCAGCCACATTTCAAAGATTAGTGGACAATGTTTTAAGTGGACTGGGGTCTTTCTGTGTGGCCTATATTGATGATATAGGGATTTTTAGCGAGTCTTGGGAAAGTCACCTCGAACATCTGGATTTGGTTCTAAACAGGTTGAGAGAAGTAGGATTAACTGTTAAAGCTTCTAAATGTAGGATAGGGTACAATGTTACAAAGTATTTAGGACATTTAGTGGGAGGAGGTCATATTCGACCTGATCCTACTAAAGTGGCAGTTATTCACCAGTGGCCAGTGCCCAAAATGAAAAAACAGGTTAGGGCATTCCTTGGATTGGCTGGATACTATCGAAAGTTTATCCCATCCTTTAGTAATCTGGCAGCCCCTCTTTCGGACCTTACAAAAAAGAAGAACCCGAACCAGGTAATTTGGACTCCAAATTGTCAAACTGCCATGGATAAATTGAAGGAATCCATTACTTCAGATTCCGTCCTAATGGCACCAGATTTTGACAAGCCTTTCATGTTAACGTGTGATGCCTCAGATACTGGGCTAGGAGCTGTCCTAAGCCAACTCGATATAGAAGGAGAAGACAGACCCATATTGTTTTTAAGTAAAAAATGGCATTCTAACGAGTATAGTATGTCAACTATTGAAAAGGAATGCTATGCCATTATCTGGTCAGTTAAGAAACTTAAACCATACTTATGGGGTAGGAAGTTTATCTTACAAACAGACCACGCTCCATTACGATGGTTGGATAATGTAAAAGGTACGAATAATAAGTTGTTGAGATGGAGTTTGTGTTTGCAGGATTTTGTGTTTGAAATGAAACATGTTTCAGGTAAACGAAATGTAGTTGCGGACGCTTTATCTAGGATTCCATAGTTTGGAGGTTTGTATAAATGTGCAATATAAATGTGTTTAACCATAATGTGTTTCCCTTTCAGGAATGTTATATATATGTATTTATTGTTGAGTAATGTATGAAGTTATTTTTGCCCTTCTAGGACTAAGAAATGGTGCAAAAATACTTTTTCTGGGGGGGAAGGTGTAGAGAAGTGTTCATTATACTGTGTTTCAAACTGTGTTTAGGCTTTACATTGTGGCCAGGGCCTAGCTGAGAGAGAGATAGGTTGCCATGGTGACAAGCCAGAGGAGGTGGGCGGAGATTAGGTAAAAAAGGTTTGAAAGCGACAGTTTATTTTCAGTCAGGCGGATGAGACCCTGAGGAGAGTAGCAGAGTCAAGGAGGCTCTGTGGAGTAGTGTAAATTCAGTTAGTTCTTAGGTTTTGTGAATATTATTCCAGCTAGGAAGCTGAAGGTGGAAACTCGTTAGATTGCTTGAGTAGAAAAGAATCTAACAAGAAAGAGTTTCAGGGATCCCAGTGGTGAAAATCTGGAGATCGTTGGTTTGTTCCGGTGAAGGACAAACAGTTGTAAATATTCACAATAGGGAACACTGAGATAATAAAGTACCTCACTGTAGAAAGAGTTAAAGGATTGTAACATCGGAAGACTTAATGTAACTCAACCAAGCCATTTTGTATCCATCAAGCTTGTGCCAAGTTCAACAGTTTAATTTTGCAACAATTTACGCTCTGATAACAATAAACCTGTTCTTTTTGTGTTTTAAACTTGCCTCCTTCACTGATTTCCACGTTTGAAGCATTCCACACTACCCAAGGTGCCTCACAACACAGATAAGGATAACCAGAGATCATTTTTACCAATATCACTTATATTATGGTGGCAATTTAAGCTAGAAGTCTCAAATCTTTATTACATCTGTGTGGTGATCCTATTTATTTGGGATTTTACACCATTATTTCATTTTGGAGACTTCCTCACATATTTTGGTGGCAGCAAGTGAACGGTTTTAAATTTTTAGTAACAAGCGGTGGGAGACACGGCTTCGCACCATGTAACCCAGAATATCAAAGCAGAAAATCCCACAATGTCTGCTTTGAACTGGGATATCTAAGTCCACACTTATATATTCCAGTTCAAAGCAGAAAATGTGGGATTTTATTCAGCTGTGTGGAAGGGGCCTCGAGAGAACACGTTTCTTTCCGTCTATAGTCATTTCCGAAATTTGTTAGGGATGGCACTAAAGTCTTAGGCTGGATTCTGCATTGCCACATAATCTAGTTTCTGAATCCAGGTTACCTGCTTTGAACTGGATTATATAAATCTACACTGCCATATTATCCTGTTCAAATAATATAATATGAATTCAGAAACTGGATTATATGGCTGCTCCTTTACATGTTGCGTACTTTCTTCAAAGCCAGAATGTAGCAGTAAGTTTAGATAAAAAGGCAATTGCAATAAAGGGAGAAACTAAACATACAATGAATAACATTTTAGCTCTCATGTGGCTTTAAGATCCAAATAGCTCTTGTGCTAGCCATTTCAAAAAATGCATTCAAAAAGAAGCAGAACTACATACTGGAGGCAGTCCACGATTTCCGCTTTTATTCATTTTCTTCAACATTTTATCTGCAAGCCCATTCGGTGAAATGTTGGAAGCTGTTTGCATTGGACAGCTAAGAAAAGAAAGGAGCCATCTCTCTCATTTCTTTTTCCTCCTTCCTTCTGTTCATCAATCTGTCATTTCTGTTCTCATTTTGAAAACATTTGCTTAGTTGCCAGAGCTGAGATAACCGAGTGCCAATAAATAACTTTTAAGAAAAAGTCTTTTATTTAAACCACATTGGCAGAAATATAAAGGATGAATATTTTACATACAGCAGCTGAGCTAATTGATGAATTTCATCTACGCAGAGACTAATGAGTTCCATTTTTAAAGTGCAACAGCTGAGGAAACCCAGTTCTTATAAATGCCATCAAACACATTTAATATCCCTTCCTTTCAAACAGAGTTCAGTTGGCTTATGCCCATGGTGTCTCAGCCACATTTATTATGGATTAGATACATTCCATCTCACAACAGGAATGTGCTTATTAGGGAGGAAAAATAATTGTACAAAGCAATAAAGGCTTAAGCATTCAGACACTTGATATATCAATGGGTAGTCCTTAATAAACAAGCTTTGCATTGATTTATATTCCTAAACCAAATGTTATGGCCACATGTAGCTATTTCAAGAGAGATTAAAAGTGTGTACAAACTTAATAATGATTAATAATAATAATAATAATAATAAATCTTTATTTATACCCTGCTACCATCTCCCCAAAGGGACTCGAGGTGGCTCACAGAATCACTCCAAGTGCCACCCGCAGCCAACAATAAATAAGGACGGACACAATGATACAAGTACAATCAACAGTGCATAAAAATCTCATCAATAAAATCACAAAAAATTGTTTAAGAACAACAAAGACCACTTCTCTGTTTTTGTAAACACAAATACACCTTCAATTCTGAGATAAGCATTTAAAAGACAGTGGAACATTTTAAAAGGTATGTGTGAGTGGAAGGGGAGATTTATATTTGGAAATCACTTTCTGGTTGGAGTTTCTTTTGGCCCAGACTTAGTCAGACTTTGAGTACTCCTATTGAAATCCATGGAACAAACAGGACATATTCCCTTTGGAGTACACTCACCTCCGGACAGAAAGTCCAAACGTATGGTCAGAGGGGAGCATTTGAATCCCCCCATCAAAAAGACCTGGTATGTTTTAGACTGACGTTGCCGCCAGCCTACAGAGGGAAGGGGCTTAAGGAAACTTCCTGTGGTTAGCCCCTCCCCTCTGCATTCAGCCTTCGGCAGCACAACCCGCCTTCCCACCCTCAGTTCAATATGAGTTAATACTGGTCACACTAGGGCAGGGTAGGAATTTTTCCTCTCCTTAAAGGGGAGGTTTTTTCGCCTACCCCATATTGAATCTACTGGGAGGAAGGAATTTACGCCATGGGGATGTCACCAACAGGAAGTGGGGGAAGAGCATAGATTGGTGTACACCTTGGCACCCCTCCATTTTGGGGCAAAGGGGGACTTTTGGGTCTATCTCTATAAGTTCCATGACTTAGGGGGTTCCCCCCAAAATATCCCCTTTAGGGCTTACCTCTCTCCTATTGGGTTATACGGCTCAGGGGGAGGTCCCCAGGGATGGCTTTCCAGTAATGACCGGGATAGCAAACCATCAATGTGGAGTGCCCCCGGGGTCAGGTGTTTCACCCAGGGGTTGGCTTGGCAGGTAGTCTGAGAATGATAACTGGTCTCACACCATTACCCATATTACAGTATTCCCTCCACAATTACATAGCTCAATTACCAGTTTTCTAATTCGGAAAATAAATTGCCTATTTATTTCTGCACATCTTGTGTCTGGTCTCTTCCTTTCGTGGTGGGAATTCAAATTGCGGTGACTAATATTCTAGTTAAGGTGGGCGATAAACATATAAAAGATGGTTTGCTAAACTTTATTTTGAAATTGCATTGTCTTTAAACAGTTTTCTAAGCATCTTTTTCTGGTTCAGATGTTCCAGCAGAATAGACCTCAAACCCAATAGTATTCATTAAAAATGGATGCAACCTTAAATTGAATTCTAAAGTATATCTTTTTTCCAACAGGTTGAAGCAATGAAAAGAGCGCTTGAAAGCCTTAACTTGAATATTGTGGAGATGACAGATGAACAGGCAACCTTGGATGGAGGAGATGTTTTATTTACAGGTATAGTAAAACAATAGCAACAAAAAACCCTTTGCTACACGTTTCAGCTGTACATACAGCTTGATGATACACTATCATTTTTATAACTTTTGTTTTGCTGTACTCCAAAATGCATTTGGTAAACATGTAAACTAATAAAAGTTACATTATTCATTAGTTTCCCAAATGAGACTTTGAGTACAGAAAAGAACTCCATGATGTAGAAATTCCCCAATATCAGAATAACAAGCAATGTAGAAGATATAAACAAAAAAGTGCATTATGTTACATCTTCATCCTCTATGCTAATAAAAGTTTATTATAGTGTATAATATCTGATGTATTTCACTGCATAATAGTCACACTCCCCACTCTTTGTAGAGTGGGGGGGGGGGGAGCAGGCAGGTGGGCAGGATAGGAAGCCTTGATCAGCTGGGTGGAGCTGAGGAAAGCCTCCCAGCTCTTGCGCCTTCACATGCTTCAGGGGCTGCTCCAAGGGGCAGATACGCAGGCAGGGGTCCAACTATTAGTTGAGGAATTGCAAAGCACCTGCAAAGACCTTAGCTTAAGATCCGGATCTTTGCAGGTGTCAAATTAATCTGGAGAAAACTGGAATATCCCAGTTTTCTCCAGATTAATCCAGGTTTACCTGAGGTGTTGTTTGTGTGAATATGTTATTGGAACTCATGGGACAGGTTTAATATAGAACAATACTGATCTGCATCACTTACTCATATGATACTGTGCTTCCTACAGTAACAGCTGTCGCTTGAAAAATGTAGAGATGCTTGCCTGATTTGTGCCACCCCATATGTTCCTCTTGACCTAAAATATAGTTGTTTGAAATACTGTTGTCAGGAGTCATTATTATTGAGCAACTGTTCCATAGCTCATACGAAGGCTCATTCACAGTCCCTGGATTGTCTTCCTGCCTACTCACCTGCTTTGCCCTCATCTGAGCTATGGGCAGTGACAGGAGAAAAAAGAAACGAGCTTCTACATCTCCTGTCTTTCTGCTGCTTCTCCTTGTTTTTGGTAGGAGTGCTGAGCAATGGTCATTACTGAGTCTGATGTTACTAGTGGTGACATTGGAGGTGGCTGGTAGTTATGAAACTCAATTTATGCATCATCTACATGGCGTGAAGGAACTTAAGGCCTCTAGTGGTCTCCTAGTGACAACATGTAGCTGTTTTGAGTGAAGTGTTTGGCCCCTTTGATAATATTATCCAGACGTACATGTTTCAGCCTCTTCTGCAGTTACTCCTTTTCCATTCACAATATAGTATGACACACACCCCCAATCCACTGGGAATGTATTTCAAGACCCTCATGGATAAACTAAACTACAGATAATAGTGGACCCTACATTTTAATACTACTTGGGACAGAAGCATACCATAAAGAGAGGGCCACAAATATTTCCAGGGGAATATATTTTTGGATAGGTAAGTAAAATTGTGGATATTGAGTCTGTGGATAAAGGGTCATACAATAATGAGACTGGAGAAAATGCTCCCGATTTTAGACCTTAAAGCAGTGGTTCCCAACCTTTTTTTGACCAGGGACCACTTTGACCAGGGACCATTCTCCAACATTAGTACCAAAAGGGTTATGAGTCAGTTTTTGCTCAGCTTTAGATTCAGTTGGGTTATTTGAGGTGCTGATTCACAAAAATTGCTTTAGAAAGACTACATCAGTTCTAGTTTCTGATACAAAATATGTGCTATCCAGTAGTCACCAACAGCTTGCTCACAGAAAACCATATTTAATAAGCCTCAGCACTACAAGCGGGTTTCGTGAGACCAGTCACTCTTATTGCGAACCACTGGTGGTCCATGGACCACAGATTGAGAACCACTGCCTTAAAGGAATTATCCAATGGGCTGATTCATACCTCCTTGCCCACTCCTTCCCACCCCTAAATAGATTCAGCATTTGAGACAGATGTCTTAGGGGTCAGATGAAAACACAGAGTGGATTCATCATTCCAGTAACATCAGATTTGCCAGACACCATTCACACCAAGGGAAGAAGCCAACCGAATGAGTATCAGCAGCTATGATGGAGGTCCAGTGGTGGAGAAGCAAGAGGAATGGCTGGAGTGACAATTAGGAAGAGGAAATGAGGCGATTCAGAAGGGAAAATCATTGAAAGCATCAGGCCCTAGTGCCCTCCCCCAAACTAGAAGTAGGGCTTATTACTGTGTGATCCAAGGACATGATAACAAGCAGAAATAATGATACTTTTTGAATGATAATACTTTTCAATAAGGTAATGTTTGCTTATAAGTATATTTAAGCTATCTAGCTTTTTAGAATGTTTTTGTTCTTTTCTTCTTAAGAATGTACAAAATGCTGATAATTTAAAACCAGCAGCGGATTCAAATGGGTTTTCCTTTTGTTCCTGAGCAGCAGAAGAACAGCCAGTTACTGTTCAAAATATCTAAACAGTTTTGTAACTATTGTACATTTGTAGAAGAAACCATATTTTGCTGTATTTGTAAAACCTAATGTAAAGTGGCAAAGCTAGTATTACACTTGATAATGCAAGACTCTGTAAGACAGGTGAATCGATATCTTGTCAAGGAAATTTCTCTACTTTAATTATTCAAAGTTGAATTTAAACAAGGCTGCAGATAATTTCCCTGCAAATGGGCTTGATCCATATCTATTAATCATTTCTCTTCCCAGGCAGGGAATTCTTTGTGGGTCTTTCAAACCGGACCAATCGTCGTGGTGCAGAAATTCTGGCAGACACCTTTAAGGTTAGGAGGCTTGAAAACGGAGTTTCTGATGGGGAATACAATTTATTCAATGTGTTGAATGGATTTTGAACAGTTGCTGGAAGGAAGGAACCAGGAGATAAACTAACACTGTGGTAAAATCAATGTTGCAACAAGGTGTAAGCAAGTGTAACTAAGAAAAAGATTATCACTTCTCTGTAACATAGGGCAATATCCATGAGCGGATTGATCTAGTATTCTATGTTAGCTTGAAATATAGCACTTTCCTAGTTGTGCAACTAGTTACCCTGACAGTATCTCCGTGACTAGCAGCTCCAGGAATAATATATGCTCTGAGAATGCTAAGAACAAGCTCACACATATTATGTGCTATGGAAAACTACCCTAAAATACAGCAGAGCATCCGAAACCAAACATGATATAAGAGTTGAGCATCAGCTCATTAGCAAGCAAAGTGTGAAGTGCCATGTGATGTGGCCATAAAGAATTCAGAGCTTTGGAGGCAAACACGCAGAGTCCAATCTTTAAAAATCACAAAGGATTAATTTACAATAATAAGAAATAACTGCATTTCTTAATAATTAACTGAGTCTGAGCTACTCTTAACACCCATCTCTTCTAAGGTTTCAAGAAAGGGAAAAACTCAATCACTGTGGGTGGTTCCACACGTACATTAAACCCACTTTGGAAAGGGTTTAAGAAACCCGCTCCAAAGGGGGTTTGAATCCCCACAGGCAGGGGAAAATGTGCTTTCTCCTTTGTCTGTCCACATGCTATCCTAAATACTTCCAGTATAGCATGTGGCCAGCCAAAAAAACCCCCCACAAAACCTCACTACCTCTGAGGATGCTTGCCATAGATGCAGGCGAAACATCAGGAGAGAATGCCTCTAGAACATGGTCATATAGCCCGAAAAAACCTACAACAACCCAGTGATTCCGGCCATGAAAGCCTTTGACAATACAACACACAAAAAACCTTAAAAATAAAACAGAAACTCACCAGGAGCCATTTGGCTTCTCTTCCTACCTGAGGTAAGATACCAATGCTGCCCCAAAACATAGGGGAAGCCAGGAATTATTTGCCCCCCCTTCATTTTGAGTGTCATTGGTATGCTCCATCAGAAAGAAAGAGAAGCCAAATGACTCCTGGTAACTTTTCTTTTTATTCTTTAGGGTTTTGTTGGAGGAGGGGGTTGGAGTCCTTGCAGTTTTCCGGGGGTTGCATTCCTACATTATGTACTATGATTGTCTTCATCAGTTTGCAGTCAATCTGAAGACTTTGAAGACTTTTTCAGTAAAAGTGGTCATGCTTTGTAGGTTCTGTGATTAACTGAAGACTTTTATTTCCTTTGAAAGCCATGATTTGGGGGTTTGTTGACCATACATCGAAATGGTGGAACAATTTATAATGGTAACTTACAAAATTATAAATCTAATGTTTTTTTCTTTGCAAACTCCCATTTTCTATACAGGATTATGCTGTTTCCACTGTTCCTGTTTCTGACTCCTTGCATCTGAAGAGTTTCTGCAGCATGGCTGGGCCAAATCTCATTGCTATTGGTTCAAGCGAAGCTGCACAGAGAGCCCTCAAGGTAAAATAATGCTGAAAATAATCAGTGCGACATAATTGTTGCTTTTCCCTCCAGTATTTCCACACAACATCCATACGAGAGGGAGTCTTCCTACCACTGTAAATTGAGTCCACCCAGGTTGCAAGGATAAACAGTTCTTCTGATCTCTTCAGCTTGAAACAAAGGGCCAAACCAGACCTGGCACTTGCGTTGAACTTTTCAATTTGACATAGAAGTTTTAAAAGGTGTAAACTGTATCAACTCGGGGAGGTCTTGTGACTTTGGGGCCACGGTAGATGTGAAGAGCAGAATCAACTATTTCTTATTGTGCTGCAGTCCTTTTTTTTATTACTATTGGATTTGGAGACAAATTATCAAAATGTCACCTGCCCTTTGCAGACTGAAAGAGTGGATGGACATAGGTGTGATTGTGGGAAGAGCATGACATGGTACATTTTGAAAGAAAATAAATCTGTAGTTGAAACACTGAACAGAAGTATGCCACACTATGACAAAATGCTGCAGGGCCCACTTCTGTTAGCATTGTAGCAGAAACTACAAGTGTGTTATCTTCATAATTAATTAGTTGTTGTTTTTTTAGATTCTTGTTAGATATACAGGCAATCCCCAAGTTACAAACATTTGACGTGCGTAGGGCTCCTAGTTACAAACAAGGGCGAGAGAACAGAAAGTGAGAGGACATCTATCCCTAGGAAGGGAAATTCACTCCTGGAAGAGTTATGATAAGGGAAAGGTGGCTCCACTGAAGCCTTGTGTTGGAAGGACTGCTGACTGATAGGTCAGTAGTTCGAATCTAGAGCGAGCGAGTTGAGCTCCCTTTGTCAGCTCCAGCTTCTCATGCGGGGACATGAGAGAAGCCTCCTACAAAGATGGTAAAACATCAAACATCTGGGCATCCTCTGGGCAACATCCTTGCAGATGGCCAATTCTCTCACACCAGAAGTGGCTTGCAGTTTCTCAAGTCACTCCTGACACGGAAAAAAAAAAACAATCCTTGTTTCCAAAACAACCCAACTTTTCCAAAATTGAGTTGTCACAGAGAAGGAAAGTGAGGTGAAATCTTCTGAACACAGACTGGGACACAGACATAAAAAGAAACATTATAAGGGTGTTGATCTTTCTGTATTCTATTTTTTTTTTTAAAAAAACTGTCTGGTGTTACACTTAAAAAACATTTTTTCAATTTCAGCTTAAAAACAAACCTACAGAATCTATCATGTTTGTAACCTGGAGACTGCCTGTACCTGGATTTTTTTTTCCTGTGTAAGGAGCGACTTGAGAAACTGCAAGTCACTTCTGGTGTGAGAGAATTAGGCGTCTGCAGGGACATTGCCCAGGGGAAGCCTGGATGTTTTGATGTTTTGCCATCCTTGTGGGACGCCTCTCATGTTCCTGCATGGGGAGCCAGAGCTGACAGAGGGAGCTCATCTGTCCTCCCCACAGATTCAAACCTGCAACCTGTCGGTCTTCAGTCCTGCCGACACAAGGGTTTAACCCATTGTGCCACTAGGGGCTCCTGTACCTAGATTAAAACAATATTGTTTTTCAGTCACAACTATCTCATCAAATGTTTTTGTTTTTTTTAAACATTGGAAATGATGGATTGGAGTCAATGATTTATGACACTAGTGGAAACTTCTCAATGAAGATTATTTTTCCTTATTCCCCACCTCACGTCAGGTCTCAAATCTCCCTCCCTCCATTTTCTGAAGGATCTTCCAATTCCCTGGAACAAAATTGTTGGGAAGGAGGAGGCAGGGAAAGTGGACGGCAGCCAGCAGGGAGAAAATCAGCGTACGTTGCCTCCTCCCTTCCTCCATTGGAAAGGCTCTGCTGGATCGAAAGCTTTCAGTGACTAGAGCTCTGCTGGTCGGTGAAGTGAAGTGCTGGATCACATCACTTGCTTTTATACTATAGATATAGGAAATACATTGATGGCAGCTTTCTCAAGTAATTACTACAGGTTTGTCTGTGTTAATTGGATGAAAAATGATATTTTAATTAAACATCTTCAAACATCATTGATTTTGATAAATTGATTTTTCCACCAGTTAATGAATCTGTTATGTAAGAGATAGCTAATTGACTGAGATAATCCTGCAGTTGATTGACAGTTTTAGTACATACATATTCTCCAATTAATTCCTTGGTATTCCCTGGGCTGTAGTTCTCTGGGAGCATTTTTTGCTAGTGGTAGTAAGGCAATATATTACAATAACTCTTAAGTCTAGAGCTTTTAAACTTGATATGAACCTATCAAGCCTATCAGTCCCCAACCAAAAACAGATAAAATTGTTTCCTTACAATATTTTGCTTTGTGGTTCCTTATCAGGACTGGCACATCAAGTTACGTTTCTTCAATGACAAAATTGTGTTTTCCTCTCCTGAAAGAAAAGCCACCTAGCGATATTTAAAATTTTAGAAAACCTATGTTCAGGCCAAGGAACAAAAGGGAGGTTTTTGCAGACAGGGGTTGAATTGGGCATCTAAACAGAAGAGAAAGCTGGAAAACTGCAGGGATAGGCTCAGGGGTGTATAGGAAATAGAAGGCAGTGGAAGAAAGGGCAGCATGGCACCAGTCAGCAGTTATCTGTGACTTGTTAGCAGATTATTCCAAAAATATAACATTAAAGGTTGCCACATTTGCAGTCGCAGCCCCAAAAATCCGAGCTAAATTAGTAAAGTCCACAGCGAAGGCTAGAAATGGAAATGGAGATAGTTTGGGATGATACAAATCAGACATTTGTTATTGTAATCATATCACTGCTACTATAATTTTAAAGAGCCAGTATATGGAATAAGTTTTAATATTTATATTGGAAAGTGCTTATTGCATTTTTAAAGGTTGTATATTATGTGATATCATGGTCAATGGCTGGTTCAATAAACAATTCCTTCATTCATAGGAGGCAATGGAAGAAGATGTAAGAATTAATCTTCATTTATAGAACAAAACATTTGTGTCTGTTGTGTTTACACTACAATTAATGCCCGGTTGGTCCTCAGAAAGCAGAAACTGCAGGTTTGGACTGGCAATTTTATATTTTATGAGTAGACTGCATCTAGTTTGAAATGAGATAGTCCAAAGGAGCCCACTTTATTAACCAAATTAAACTGATAGTATCTATGGCCAGGTCTACACTGCCATATAATGCAGTTTCAGAATGCAGATGTAGACTCATACAATGTAGTTCAATTTTAATTATATGAGGCCCCTTCTACACTGCCATATAAAATACAGATTATTGGCTTTGAACTGGATTATATGGCAGTGTAGACTCATATAATCCAGTTCAAAGAGAATAATGTGGATTATCTACTTTGATAATCTGAATTGTATGGCAGTATAGAAGAGACCAGAGTCTACACTGACCATGCAGTTCACACGGAGAAGGACTTGTTCTCAGTGCCTTATGATTTAATCCTCTTGCTCCTACTTCCTTCAGACTTATTCAACAAATAAAAAGCAAGAGAAACAAGATATACCTCCAGTTGCTTAGTATTAGGCTATCCACCCGCCCTCATCCCCAAAGCAGGCAAATGTTTTATGTAATCCTATCTATACTTAGGAGCCCCTGGTGGCACAATGGGTTAAACCGCTGAGCTGCTGAACTTGCTGACTGAAAGTTTGCTGGTTCGAATCCGGGGAGCGGTGTGAGCTCCCACTGTTAGCCCCAGCTTCTGCCAACCTAGCAATTCAAAAACATGCAAATGTGAGTAGATCAATAAGTACCGCTCTGGCAGGAAGGTAATGGCAGTCCATGCAGTCATGCCAGCCACATGACCTTAGAGGTTATGGAAAACGCTGGCTCTTTGGCTTAGAAATGGAAATGAGTACCAACCCCCAGAGTTGGACACAACTGGACTTAATGTCAGGGGAAAACCTTTACCTTACTATCTATACTTACCTGGGAGTGGGCCTTGTTGAATACAATGAGACATACATCTGAGGGCATATGTAGGATTGCATTATTAGGCAGAGTATTGTTTTCTAAAATTGCTAGACGTTGATGCAGTGGAGGGGAACTTTCTTCCTGCTATTAATTGTTCTTATTTTCTTTTCCATGCTGCCCATTTACATCCTCAGATTCAATTGGCAGGGGATCTCCAGCATGATCCTTTGGGCAGGAAAACAGGAAATTTAATTTAGACTACTTACATGAGGCAAATGCACCAGTAAAAGGATTTCTGTCCTTTTGCCATGCAGATTGAATGGCAGGGCTTGCAGCAAGAATGGCTGCAGTTGGAGCATAATATGTTTGTGTAATTAATTCACCAAAGCCATCAATTTGTGCACTCATTGCTGAAGAAAGGGAGAACAGTCCAAAGAGAGGATGAGGGAAATGGCAAACAGACTCGTTGCCTAAGTGCTCCCCCTCCACCCTTTTTTGCAGAATTTTTCCATAGTGAATATGTTCTCCCCTAGAAAGTGCTCACATCCTGTTATATACAATGGGATAGTAAAATTGCATCCCTTATATAAAATGAGGAACAAACAAATACCGGAGAAAGCCTGAGGATCTTTAAAATGGCAGGACATGCCTAAACAGCAGTGTAGCACTCATGACATGGCAAAATCAAGGATTGCATTTTTTTAACAAACATTTTTAAGCTGTAGTTGGTTGAATCCATGGTTGCAAAACTCTTTGGGACAGCTTTATTGGGTAAATAATCTAGGCAATTGCTCTCTACTAATGTGATGAAGTGCTACTAATTGCTCTGTGAATTTATTGTCTAATAGTCTTCAGGAAGTGCAGGTGAACAAGGAGAAGATATTATTCAACTATTTATGTATAGGTAAAGGTAAAGGTTTCCCACTGACATGAAGTCCAGTTGTGTCTGACTCTGGGAGTTGGTGCTCATTTCCATTTCTAAGCAAAAGAGCTGGCGTTGTCCATAGACACCTCCAAGATCATGTGGCTGGCATGACTGCATGGAGCACCATTACCTTCCTGCCGGAGTGGTACCTATTGATCTGCTCACATTTGCATGTTTTCAAA